ACTTTTGAATGGTGGGGTTAAAGCTTTCATATTTCACACATGTATTCCTTGTGACAAGATCTTTCTTTGGGTACCAACATTTGACCTCATGACCTTGACCTTGGATTTTGACTTACTTCTGAAAGAATAAAATCAATTTTTTCTTATGACCAGAACTCTTGAACAATTAGTTCTAGGACTATCATATTCCATGTGTGTATTCCCTGTGAAAAGACCTTCTTTGGGGTACCAACATTTTTGACATTGTGACCTTGACTTTTGACCCACCTTAGAAAAACTTTAACTTTGGCCATAACTTCTGAACAACCAGTGCTAGGGCAGTAATGCTTATTACTTACATGTATGACAAGACATTTCTTTGGATACCAACAACTTTGACCTTGTGAAGTTGACATTTGAGTTTGACTTGTTTTTGTAAGACTTCAACCTTGGCAGTAACTTCTGAATGGTTGTTGTTAGGGCTTTCATATTTCATGTGTGTATTCCTTGTGGCAAGATCTTTCTTTGGAAACCAATATTGTTATCCTCATGGCCTTGAACTACAAGTTTGACCTATTTTTGTAAAACTATAACCAACTTTAACCTTGGCCATAAATTCTGAATGGTTGGTACTAGAGCTTTCATATTTCACAAGTATGTTACTTGTGACAAGATCTTTCTATGGATACCAACATTTTTGGCATTGTGACCTTGACCTTGGAGTTTAAACTACTTTTTGAAAGACTTTGATCTTGTCAATTAGCTGTTATGCGGGGCCATCAGTGTTTTTTTTCTTTAATGTAATATATTATTATTTTATTCATGAAAGATATTGTTCAAGTAACATCTTTATTCGCTCATTAGTTATTATTGGTACAAATGTTAAAGTAGTTAATTCTTTTCTTTGCCTCCAAATAACAAGTAATTTGTTTATCATGAATTGATTTAGTCCTTTTTTCAAGCCTATTTATCAACAATAAGATAATTTGTCTTGTTATTGCTGCCAGAGGGATAATCACTCAGTCTGTCCTCCATATGGTCTTGTATTCTTCTGCTGAATCAGCATCATTCAGGAATAGATTTTTGTCCTTAACGAGTTCAGAGTCTTGCTAAATCTTAGCCACATCCCTAAACTCCTTACAAATCTATTGTGCAGCCTTTGCACTGAAGGCCAAGCACTTTTGTGACCATGGAAGAGGAAAACAAGAATCAACATTTGGCAGTGCAAATCTCATTGAATACATCCTGTTGCAAGGTCATCTTGATATCATATCCCATTTCATGTACATTGTAAACCAGAAATATTAGCTTAATTGGATGACAATGTCTGCTCTTTGTATTTAATAAGTATATTTGTGAATAACTTGAAATAACATTAAGTAACTTAAGCACAAGACTAATTTAATATATACTCCCTGTATCTTGTTCATAGATCTTTTTCACTTACATTGTTTTCTTTATATTATGACTTATTGACAGCAATGTCATTGGTCAATTTGTAGCAAAGTGACTTGATTTGTACTTAAAACAAATTTGTCCTGATCAGTGTTCTGTCTCTGTGCTCTGAATGCACAATATTGATCAGTCTTGAAACCACACTTTGATTTTTCTTCAGTAGAGTAAAGGAGGGCAGATTAGGAGCAATAAATCAGTGGTTAACTTTACATTTCTGTCCCTATCGATTGTAGATGACGAAAGAGAAGTCACACCTGAGTGACTCCACAGAGTATTCCTATATGCCTAATGCCTCCAATGTAAACACACCAGATGAGAAAGTCTACGTAAGTCCATTTAACAACATGGACCCTGCAACAGATGAGACAGAGGAGGAGACTTGTGGGTGGCTGGGGTGCCGCCCTGTCGTGTTGAGGAGGTTCCGCCACCCCACCTGGGTCCTGGTGTTCCTGTGCTGGGCTGGGGCTATACAGGTTAGTTAATTACCTGTGTTACAAGGTGTGAGGTAAATTTACAACTAATTAAATGTCCCTGTGAATGAGGGATATTCTTTTTTTCATTCAAAGTTGAAATAGAATGGGAGTGTGTTGCTGTTTGTCATTTTGTTATCTGTATTGGGAAGGGGTTAGGGAGTGGGGAGTATATATAGTGTGATTATTTTCTTTAGGGAGAGGGAGGAGGGTACGATAGTTATATATTTAAGGTGAGATGGGGGTAACATGTTTGGGAATAGGGTATGGAAGTATTTAGGGTTGATTAATAGTGTAAAGAAAAACAGAACATAAAAATTAAAGTTTTCTTAGTGTACAGATATAAGATTATTCAACAGGTTTAAGTGTCTACTCATGTAGAAAAAAAGGAATGTTTAGTTGTTGTGACCAGAATGTTAATTAATAACAGTGCTTGTTTTTTTTAAAGCATTTTATTCATTATTAAGGCACAGTAGATTTTATTACTGCAGTATGTAGGCTAGTAAAGCTTATCATGTTGAAAACTCAGGTAGAGAAATCTCCCATAAATCAACCACCCTAAAATTACCTATGATGATTTGGGGTACAAATGGTTCACAGTATTATCTGCATATTTCTAATTCACATTCAAGGATTCATTTTATTGACAGGTTTTCTCAGCTTAGATTTCATTTTTTTTTCCCATTGACTGAGGTATTAGGGCAATGGTCCACACTAATTGGTCAGTAATCAGTGTACCATACAATAGGAGGAGGGTGTATTTAATTTACCGTGACTGACGGCTCTTTGTTGATGTTTTCTCAGCCTTTTACCCCTGCTCAGTGATGCTCTTGCATTTAATTTTTTTGCTGTTTGCTGAGCAAACATTGTTTCTTTATAATCTGATCATCCTTCCTTTCACAGCTGAGTTTTTGCATGTCATCATTGTAAAAATTGTTTACCTTTTTTTTGGATGTAGGGTTTTTTGACAGGTGCTTGTGTATCTTATTGCTGGATTAAACACTTATAATAACACAAAAATAAACTCCTGTAAAGAAGGTCATATATGTAAGAATGTGGCATGTCTCGTACAAGGGATCCATACTTGAATGAAAATTTTATTTAAAATAAAATAATAGGAATGATGCACATGAGAAGTTTTTTAATCCTGGAAAAGAGACCAGTCAATGTTATGAATGATACAACAAAGTGATCCTCATTTCCTCTAGGTTTAAAACATTCTATACTTATTGAAAACTGTAAAAGTGGAAATTTTAGCGAGACGCAAATTTAGCAATTTACTCTTAAAAATTGGTATTTATTTTCAGCGAGAATTAATTTTAGCGATTTTAAAATGCTCACAAAAGAAGCTATTACAGATAAAATGCAATTAATTTTAAGCGATCTCAGCACCCTCACTAATAATGCCAAAATTAATATAATCCTTGCTAAAAATTCTGCTTATACGTTATTACAAATATTACATTTATAAGTTTCTTGGCGCTTTGCAAAGCACCAGGAAACTTATTTGTTTTACTGCAATGATAACTGATATGCAGCTTTATATAGTTATGGAAACAGTACATCATATTCAGTAAAGAAAGAAAACTGCGAGTTATAATCAAAATAAATACTTCGTTAACTTAAATATCATCAGTTTTAATGAGGTCTAAAATAATTGTCAAACAATGGAACAGTTGGTGATATATTTAAGGAATTTAAAGTTTTACAAAGTTGTCTATAATCTTTATTCTACTCTATGTAATCATTTGAATCGTATATTAATTACTCTGCATACCATGTATTATAACCTAATCTTTTGATATATTTACTGAAAAAATTGGTGCATGTATATACTTCAGCTTGGTCTGAGAGATTTATAAAGACACTGATAATTGAGACAACAGAGTAGTATGGAAGTCTATACTAATTAAGTCATTATGTTAATGAAGATTAGGAATAAAATGATGCACTTTAAGGGTAAACATTGCACATCCTGCTACATAACAGAAGAAAGTTGTCAACACATTAGAATTATTATAAGTGTACACAAATGAGTGTAGTATATTACTTAGTGTGAATAAGTTTACATGAATAGTAAGGATTTTAAATAGTACGTGTAACTTTAAAGCCACTGAGTAAATAAAAATTCAGTTTATAAGGGTGTTACATATATCTTTATTGAATCTTAACAAAAGACCTATTTGGAGAGAAAGTATATGTGAATAAAAACATCAAAAGAGCAGTGACACTTCAGGATCTGTAAATATCTAAGGGATTTAGTTTTGTGCTATACCAAAGGAAATATTCTGTTGGTTTACTGGAGCTTGATGTAAATCCATCAGTATACTTTTTTAGGAGGTTTAGCCTTCTTGGACTGAAGGCAATTTATTGCAGGCTCTCCATTTTTGCCTTTTGGGATTCCAAGAGTTTTTGTCATATCACTGGTGCAAAATTGCTAATTTCACGGACATTTGTTCATTTTTTGCATACACAATTGGAAAGGAAGAAATTCAATATTATAAAGGAAGTGTGGTGTGTGTGAAGTCACATTTTACGTCATATACTATAGTATTGCTCTTTTGACAAACAATATTGTGCTGATTTGAACAAATAATATTGGCAGTTTTATAAGTCATCCTTTGGTAAATAGAGTGGATGAAAATATATGACTGTTATGTGCCTACGTATTGTATTACTGACAATGATGGCAGACTAGGGAATTGGTTTTGTGCATTATTTGTAATTTACTGAATGAGTTTGACGATCTGGGAAGATTTGTACAGATTATATTGCCATACTGACGAGTTTATTTCATTACATCAAGATTCATTTCCATAAGAGGACTGAATAAAAAAGGCGTCCAATGGTGCCAGGACACAGGCGTGGTCATAAGATATTATGGTCAGTGGTGTACATGATATCATCTTACAGTTCGCTTTAATGATAATTGACACCCTTGATCAGGATATTGATACTTGTACTGGATTTACTGACTCTTATTTTCACTGTTACATGAAGATTTTCCTCGTTATGCTGGGCTGAGTACTACGGAGGATCATCAAACTTCCTGTATCTTTCGGATGTTTCAAAAACCACTTGCGCATCACCATGTAAAAAAAGAAGCAAGGAAAAAAAGTGAGGTTCATTGAAAGGTTGCATTGTGTTTGTGCACAGTATCAATAATTTATATTTTTATGAGTGGTGGTATTGCTGGGATAAGATGAGTAAGAAATTAAAACGGTGTCTTTCTGGAGATGTGGACAGTATAGAGATGTACATACTGCCAGAGTCAGACCCTGGGGAGGGACTAGAGGGGTCATACCAAGGTAAATCCTACAGCTCTACGTTAGACTCGACGATGGAAGGCAGTATCTCAGGTGTGTGTCGTAATACAGAAGATTATAACAAAAGTGAAGTATCTGATTTGTACACAGAAGTATCTGGCAAAATGGAGGGTAGATCTGACTCCTCGAGGAAGCAGTCCTCCCAGGGTAAGGACGACTGTCCTGAAGAAGAACCTGCCTATTGCTCTTACTGTGGCTTTCATTTTTTGAGATTTACCTCGATCAGTTTCCGAGTCCTCATACTGCTAGCTCTTTCTGCTTCGGCCTTTGTACAGGTATAGTATTTGATCTTATGCATTATTTGCCTTTCATTCTTTGGGAAAAAAATGCTTGATATTTTTGTTCAGATTAAAGAAATATATGAAGTCATTAACTTTTATCAAATAGGTCATTACTTGTTGAGAATACGCCCATCAGTGCAGTGTTGAGTTTTTACCTCAAATACAATACTGTTGCTTAATGATTATTGGTAACTTGATATGGATATATATATTCTTACCTAATGATGTTTACTCAGTGCACCATAAACTATAACTATGTCAATACTGTAGACAGAACAGGATCAGATGGAAGTTAACTAGCTATATTTTTTTTATCCCAGTTTTTATTACAGTCAAATCTCTTTCTGGGGGTGTTGGAAAATATTCCCACTTTTTATATAATTTTAGCTTGCAGACATTCAGATTGCATATTGATCACTTCTGGGAAGAATTTCCAGTACCAAAAAAATTTATTAACCTTAATGTGGTGTTTTTTTAACATTAAATGTGGATAACTTTGGCATAGACCTTGAAAGATTCATGGATACTCCACTATTATGTACCAACATTAATGTAATACATGAATTTTGAAACCCTGAAGTTTTCAGTTTTTTAAGGGTTTTAAATTAGAAAGTATTGCATTGGTGTGTTAATGTATTTTGTGGTAATGTCATTGAAGCCTTTGGGGTCCTTACTTTCTGGGGATTGGAGAATTATAGCCTGTTTTATTGCACATACAAAATAAGATCTAAATGTAACTAGGGTGAGGCCAGTGCAGGGTTAAGAGAGAGGTTTAGATTGTGCTGATAAAATTCAGTGCAGCACAGAGCCCCCAAAAATTGAAATATGTACAAGTGAAATATACCACTATAAAGTTTTTATCTCAAGTAACTTTGTTTCTGTGTACCCGAGGCTTGCTTTTACCCTTCAAAGAAAGTTCTTTATTGCATCCTTTTTTTAAAAGTTTTATTGCACAGTCAAAAAAAGGAAGAAAAAGAAAAAAGGTATATGTGGAAACTGTATAAATATAAGTCTGACCCAGTTTGACCTCATATTTTTTGCTGTCTGTCTTAATTGTCGGGACTGTTTGCTTAACCCAATGAAGACGTTCAGTTGATTACATCCCATGCATTCTTGAAATTCAACATAACTATAAGAATTTAAAGACCATCACACTTATAGTTTATGTAGGTATTTAAATGTTTAGAGGTATACATATTCTGTTGTATTCATTTTTTGTGTTATAGTTAGGTGTAAATGCTTTCAAAGTTCCCAGCATGTTTATCACATTAAGCTTTAAAAACCTTCCAGGTGGTATAAATATGCCCCCAAAGCAATTTCACTGTCTATTAGTAAAGTACTTGAAGGATTTTAATAACAGCACAAAAATGGCTAGTAAAAAAATACTGCTTTACAGCTTTAAAGAGGGCATGAATTGGAAAAAAAAGTGCTTTGTAAGGAAAAATAAAGAATTTATTAAATGGTAGTTTTAATATAAACTTTAAAAAAAAGTGTAGTAACATCACCTGAAGAAACTAATGGAACTGAATTAAAAGGGGGAAAAAATTTATCTGCCATAAAATTCTATATTTTAAATAAAATATTTGAAGTATTTACCAGTTTCCTTTTTAAAATAAAAAAAATCTACACAGTGATATCATTTTCCCCAATCTGTATCATTGTAAAGTATCTAGGGAGAAGAAAAAAAAATATCCTAAATCTTTCATACTTTTGATGCTATCTAGCAAATGATGAAAAACATAATGAAGATATTTCTGTGAAGGCATATATTCTCTGATCTATCTGGGAGATGTAGGGGATTTGAACACTGATGGGGATATTTTTTAAAGATGTTTTGTCGGATTGTTTGCAGTGATGATAGTCAATCCTCACAGTGTCTGTGTATAGTTGTCTTTTCCTGACATTGATGAGTTCTCAGTGGTATCAAGTATTTTGTAGTTTATCTCATTTTTAGCTCACCTGAGCTGAAAGCTCAAGTGAGCTTTTCTGATCACTCATTGTCCGTCGTCCGTCTAGCTGTCCGTCCGTATGTCTATCTGTAAACTTTTCAAATTATCAACTTCTTCTCAAGAACCACTGGGCCAATTTTAACCAAACTTTGTACAAAGCATCCTTGGGTGAAGGGGAGTTTAAATTGTTAAAATGAAGGGCCAAGCCCCTTCAAAGGGGAGATGATCAAGAAAAAACAAAAATTGGGTGGGGTCATTAAAAAATCTTCTTCTCAAGAACCATTGGGTCAGAAAAGCTGAAACTTATGTGGAAGCATCCTGGGGTAGTGTAGATTCTAAATTGTTCAAATCATGACCACTGGAGGTAGGGCGGGGCCACAATAGGGAATCCAAGTTTTACAGTGGAATATGAAGTAAAAATCTTTAAAAATCTTCTTCTCAAGAACCACTTGGCCAGAATAGCTGAAACTTATGTGGAAGCATCCTGGGGTAGTGTAGATTCTAATTGTTCAAATCATGACCCCTGGGGATAGGGCTGGGCCAAAATAAGTACAGTGCTCCCATTTTATCCAATAGTCAAGTTGTCAGCCTAATTTTACCAGAATAGCCGAATATTAGAATAGCCGATTGTTCCATACCGAGTCCAAAGATAGATGTATAGAGCTACATGTATTGATAAATACATCGTAGCAAACTTCAAGCTTGCACTTTGGTTTTGGTTTGATTAGTTAACTAATTAAACAAAACATATTTATATACTATGTCCACTATTAACACAGGTAAGGTGCCTGTGTGCATTCAGCCGTAACTAATCCCCTCATTGTACTCGGGTGCGTATCATTACTGCTACATTTTCAAAATTTTCATTACCGCTACTTGCACATTACCACTACATTTAAAAGTATACATCACCGCTACATTGTCTCTTTCCTTAGCCAGCATCTTATGCGTGTACAGTACAACATATGCATGCATAAGACCCGTTTCCCCTGCTCACCACAGGGAAGCGAAGGAAGGACTTTGAGCAGGATGGTTTTTTTTTTGTTTTTTTTTCATTTTTTATTTAAAATCTACTTTATTTCATAAAACATTTTAAAAAGTTTAAAATCAAACATTGTCCATAGATAAAACACACAGGCTTTATACATTCCACTACAGACTTATATATACTCATTTTGATTAGAATTCAGATCCAAATTGTACTTCACTACATGGTGAGTGAATTATATTGAATGGAACTCATATTCCGTGCCATTGCTGGCCGATTCGGTATGTAGCGGTAATGAGTTGTTTTCGGCATAAGTCCTTTTGATAAAATGTAGCGGTAATGATCGCCCGAAAATTTGAGAAAATGTAGCGGTAATGAGCTGAAATTTTTTGCAATGTAGCGGTAATGTTGACCTCCCTTGTACTCAAGGCGAGAGGTGTCAGACAATGTAAACAAAGGCTTCACATACAAAGTTGGAGGTGTCAACAAGGTGCTGATTATCAAAACAACACTATGATAGTCCAAATTTTGGTATCAGATAAAACGAAATTCCAATATTTTCTCATCAGAATATCAGGTGAAATTATTAACAAATATGTAAGAAATGGTTTTGTGCTCTGATATTATATTGAAATAGCTGAAATATTAGTTAAACCACTATCCGATAAAATGGAAACCACTGTACTACAAGGGGGGAAATCAGGTGAAAAACAGCAAGGCCAAAGTTACTCAGGTGAGCATTGTAGCCCATGGGCCTCTTGTTCAGAAATAATTTAATAGTATTAGATTATTTAGAGAAAGAAATTTGAATAATCAAATATCATCTTTCTTGTTAAGAACTTTACACCACTTAGTATTGAATACTGCTATGTGATATAAAGGGCAATAACTCTCTTTGCTAGTTTTTTGTGATTTTAATAACACATACTTTTAATTTAAAATTTAATACAGGTTTGTACAGAACCAAAGAAAAGTAGTTCTCTCTCTATTTTCTAGGGAGTTTTGCTCTTTTTCTGAATCTGGTAGGATCTCAGCCTTTTCACAGAAAATGGTGCTCCTTTCTTAAAGTACTTTCAATCCCTCCAAGAATATCTTAATTGGAACAGACCTTAATTATAACTGATAAATAAAGCCATTAATATTTGACTGTTTTTTTTCATAGTTATGGGCTCAACATGTAATTAAATTTATTAGGAGTCTAAAATTGGGTCAGAGAAAAGGGAGAAAATGATTAGATGTTTACTCAATGATGCAAGCAAATTTATACAATTTACTGAAAGTTCGAAGAAGCCAGACATTTTAAGGATGTTTCGACATTGGATGAGAGTCTCTTAGGTATCACAAGTGTTCAAAGGATTGTGAACTTAAATGGTAAATGTAGATCGTGCAGCTTAAGTGAAATTATTTTTAGGAAAAATCTTCTTTCTTCAAGTGCTGATTTGCAAAAATGCTAAAAACCTACCTTTTAAACATTTTTAAAGCACTCTGGAGATTTGGTGAGGCATCAGTGTGAATTGTCTATAATCGAGATTTACATGCCGAAAAATTTCTTTATCAATGCAAAACTTTTAAAACAGAATTGATGAATTAACATTTGTACATTATCAATGCACTATATGGTGTTTTTTTTTGCAATTCGATCAGAACATTTTAATGCACTCAGAACTGTGAATAGCATCAGTTTTTAAATTCCCTCTTCATTTTAACTTGTGCATTATAGCAAGTTTTATGAGGTTATTTGCTTGTGATTTGTAATATCCTGCATGATCAAGCATTAAATCTCCAGCTGCTCTGGAAAGGATGAAGTCACAAGGAATACCGGTAAACAGGTGACTCAAAAACTTCATCAAAATTTGGGGGCATTTATCTAAAATTTGCCCATCTCTGAAGTTTTGTTGGACTTCTTGCAGTCCTGTTCTAGGTCCTGGAGATCACAAGTTTTGTAATTAGCCATCAAAGGTGAAGGTGAAAGATACTTTCAGAGAACATGAAAAATTCACCTAAATGAAATTAGCAGTTATGTTTGAAAGTACATTATCAGCTTCTAACAAGTATTTTTTTTTCATACTTTTGTAGAAATAATTGAACTGGAATTGGAATCTGAAATCCTTTTTACTTTATTGATGGCATTAAGGAAAATTATTTTAAGTTATCTTTGTAGTATTTTATTTAATAGTGAAGATGAAATGTTCGGCAGTGTTAATGAAGATATGTCTTGATTTACGTTAATCGGAGGCAGCATGTGCCAGGACATAAGAGAGATGTTATCACAAAGTGACGACCCCTGTTTGTAAACGCTGTAGTATTTTTATCAAATGTCAAATTTCATGCTTCACGGTAGGAGCTTGAGGTTAAGGGGCTAGCAAGCTAGTCAGAAGAGTGCAGCATAGGGCAGTATATAAAACATGGCTGGACATACAGGTCCCACTTCTCATCATCTCACTGAGATTTGAAAATGTTTGCTGCACTACATGCATGCATGTACACAATTGAAATTCTCCAGAGGCATTTAATCTTTTGACTCCAGCAGATTTACACTTGATTTGCCAGCCATGTGCACTGTATAACATTTTTTGATACATTCTGTCATTTGGGTCAGACAGATCTATACATAAACATTTACATATAAAAATGAAAAGAGAACAGTCTGTGTTAGAAAATTTTTATTTTCAGTTAACCTGTATATGTTTGTTTTATCAGTATTTTAGATAAGAGGGTATCACATTAGAAACTTTTATTTCACATCTGTAATCTTTACTGAGGCATCATCATTATCTCATAGTTTTATCCTCTTGCTTTTTAATGGCCCAATTCAGCAGAATCATATTGTAATGTTTTCATTTAGATTTCTAGACAAAGATTACAAATATATTTAAGGGCAGTTAACATTTCTGCTGGCAAAAAATCTCTGAATAGAATGATTATGATATAGTGTAAGGAAGTTCTATGAAGTATTGAAAATTTATATATAGAAAAAAAAATTGAAAAGATAATAGAAAAAAAGATGTATTTTACTAGCTTTGTATGATATGAATTATAAATTGTTATAAAGTTTTCCATACATTTCAGCTTCTCCTGAATGTAATATTATAAAGATGTCTCAGATGATTCATTCCATTTTTGCAAAAGAAATTACTAAGATAATTACAGCTCATAACTAAGTGTAAATTCTGTTTTCAGCAGGAAGCAGATCATTTTATTTCTCCCGTGGATTTCTGATGTAACTTGGTATTAAATCAATATTTCATTTTCTGCATGTTGCATTGTGCTTATGGGATTCTGTTCTACTGATGAAATTAACTATCCATTACACCATATAATAAATATCAGTGATTTTACTTTAGGCCAGATTGCAAAGAAATCTATTTGCATCAAGAATTCTGTGTTTCTTCCTGTATTTTTGAAAGGATACTTTTCAAACTTGAAGTGTCTATAGTATAACTATTAACTTGGGTCTTTACCTTTGACATTGGTGAACTAAACAGGTTTACTTTAAATCTCAGCAATGAAATTAAGCTTCCTTATTGAGTGCAGATTCAAATTTGTCCAAATCATGGTACCCCCTGCACTAAGGTAGTACATGTTACCACCAATGTTTTATGAGTGATATATGTAGGAAATCATTAAAAGTCTTCTACTCATGATTTAATTTTTTTTAATTTTCCCCCCAGGGAATGGTGGTGAATGGATTTGTGAATGTGGTGATTTCTAACATTGAGCGGCGGTATGACCTAACCAGTACCGAGACAGGAACCATCGCTAGCTGCTACGACATTGCCTCAGTCCTATGTCTCATCCCCGTCAGTTATTTTGGAGGCCTTGGATGTAAACCTCGATACCTAGGTAGTCTATTACTAAAAACTGAATATTCATGAGTTTTTGTGAAGCAAATTTCAAGGATTCACAGGTGCCTTATAGTAATCACTTTGTCTGTCTGTCTAGACAGGTGGATGAATAACTGACACCCTTTAGTCAGAAAGACTCTTTTGAGCTCTTGGCTCAGGTGAGCAAATATGCTATATTACTGGGGCTGGTGAACCCTGCTAAATGAAATTTAGCCTGGAAAATACACACACATACCCAACAATGCACCTCTTGCAAGAATGACATTTGTGTGTGTTGTTGTCTGCAGACATCCCATTTTCAACTTCTTTCCTTGCACCAGGATGCATTTTCAAACAAACTTTCAGTATACTGAACAGCGCTATCTCGTATTCTTTTTTGACATTAAACATTATGAAAATTACCCTGTACAAGTTAATAGTTACACTGATAACAAATTTTATTTGAAACAATGAATGGAATTTATATATATTAATAAGCAGATCTATTTTGATTGGAATAATTTGATATATTATGACAGATTGTACTAGCAGTTCAGTTTGATTCTATGAAAAGGTACAGTGCAGTTGAGCAACACATGACATTAAGTTTACAAGATCAAAATACTTGGATCAGGTAGCATTTTGTCAATACATCATCATTCCCATTGCATACTGATTGGTGCCTAATTTCTTAAGTTCTGTGTGACTCTACGGGGTTGACAAAAGTATCTCAGCATCAATATTTCAGAATTTTTGTTCATCAGTGTCACATTTTAAGTCGCATCACATTCTTTCTCCATTTGTGGTCCATTGAATTCCTTGATTAGTTTGACACAATCCTTGTGATTAATCAATCATAAGATTTTGGATAAGAAGTGATGATGCTTCTCCTGAATTTTCTTTCTTGAACACAGTAACCTGAAAATGTCTGCAGGATGTTTAATATTCCTTGTATCTCTTCGTATTAATGATTTTGTCTACTTCTAGCAGAAGCTTGATGTTGGATGGACAAATCTTCCTGTATCAACTGCAGTGAAAGTTTAGCAATAGACATTTCAGGTCTATCCACCAAAGTGTGTTTTGGGGAATTCTGACACTGAATTCCCCAAGTCTGTATTTAGACCGTTAAATCAGTTAAGACACTCAAAATACCTGTTATTATGTCAGATAACAAATAATGGCATTACAGTTCATGATTCACAATTGAAATTTAATAGTTCTTTGTACAAAATGTTATTTAATACATGAACAATTTTGGAAGTCTCTCAAATTATAGAGGAATTTCTCCTTATTTTTTCCTCATCACTATGGTTACTTTGGGTGTCCATCTCATCAAAATGTCCAGTTAAAGTAACACAATTGCTGGAGGGTCTCCAGGCTACTTCTGTGCCAAAATCCCTCCTCAGAATCACCCTATCTTGATATTTCCTCCATTTGACTTGAGCATCATCATTGATATCCTCAATTTTGTAGTCATTCTCTATCTCCAATTTCATCTTAATGTTTTCTAGCTCCTCTTGGTATTTCTGAATTCTTTTTATACAGTCCTGGCGATGAATGCACCCCAGTATTTCTATCAACAGGGTTAGGTTGTCTTCACGTATCAACTTCTTGTGAAACATTAATTTCAGCAGGTCCGCCATGTTATGTAAATCATGTCCTTCCCTTTGCCTTATGTGGCCACTGACTTCTAGCAGTAACTTGACTTTGGACAGTTCAGAATCGGTAAGGTGATCATCGATGTCCAGCAAGAGTTTGGCCAGAGGTGTGATAGTAAGGGTCCTCTCAGAATAAGCAGCCATCCTTCTCACATCGCAAGAAAGCAAAGAAGGCAGAGAACGTGATCCTGATTACTCACAAACCTGAGACATATTGAATTTCAATATACTTCGAGATATCTGAGGATTCGAGATATTCAGGTTAAAATACTTAAGAAATAAGCACTTGGGACCTCAAAATCACTTCAGCATATCCATGGTATTCGAGATATCCATTTCGAGATACCGAAGTTCAACTGTATGTATTGTATATATACTCACGAAACTATGTTTGCAAATTAAAATGTTTTGTAGGATTATCAATGATTAATTAACTTACTATCCATTATTTTGTAGGTATAGGTGTCCTGGTTATGGGCCTGGGGTCAATCGTCTTTGCACTACCTCAGTTTACCACGGGTCTATACTCGTTTACGGGAGATGATGTGACATACTGTGATATCGGGGCCAATGTCACTGCATGCACCAGCAAGGACAGCCTCTCCAACTACAAATTTGTCTTCTTCCTTGGGCAGCTACTACATGGTGCTGGGGCGTCACCCCTCTACACCCTAGGAGTCACATATCTGGACGAAAATCTGCCTGTCAGATCGTCTTCCATGTATATAGGTAATTGTCTTGAGAGTGAGAACTGTGAAATTAGGTATCAGTGAAACAGATCATGAGTTGAAATACTAAAATACCTTATGATCCTTTGCTATCAATATTGATTACTATTGTTAACCACTAGGGTTTTCCACCAGATTGAGTGTAAATTAGTTCAGTAAATTCTGCTAAAAATGTTTGGTCTTGTTCAAGAATTCCATAACTCTCCCATTCCTTGTCAATTTATTTGATATAAGGTACTCAAACAATGTGTAGTTGCATGTAATTTACATGTTTTCTGTTTCTTTATAACTCTTAATGTTAAATCAATTTCAGGTATATATTATGCCTTTGCTATTGTGGGACCAGCTATTGGATACCTTGCAGGGGGAGCATTCCTTAACCTCTATGTAGATGTTGACAGAGTGGACCAAGCAAGGTAATGCTGACAGTTATAATTCAAACTTTCAAGTAATTTTTATTTTCCTTCTTTTCTCTTCATGATACCAGCATCAGGGTATGAAAAGTTTTTTTTTTATTACTTGTAAGTGACATTAATGAGGTCAAAATAAAATTATTACTTGAATATTCTTTTAATTTAGGTCAATTAAAAATTTTTAGATGAGTAGGATCAAATACTTTGATCTGTGGTGAGATATATCAGGTATTCTTTATTTTCTGCAGTATAAATCTGACCCCCAGCAGTCCACGGTGGGTGGGGGCGTGGTGGATTGGGTTCCTCCTTAGCGGGGTCCTGGCTTTCCTTGTGGCCTTCCCCATGTGTGGATTTCCTACCAAACTACCAGGTATATATTTCATTACTAACAACATGTTTCAAGAATCAAATTTTTCTTAGTCATTAATCAATACATGTGTATTGGGATTTCATGAGGTTTTTTTTTGGTATTTACAAAATAATGTGACATCATTCAACACTCAAAACTCTTCTTCATTTTTTGTCAGTGATCAGTGCTTTGTGGTTTCACTAACACTCCAATAATTTGCGCTTCTTTTTACAAACAAAATTAATTATTCCAAGAATCTAGCACTAAAATATGTCTTATATGTCATTGGTCGCACTCTGTATGCTTAACATATCTCTTAAGAAGGAATGTCTATACAACAGGTAATTACAACAATCATTTTCATTATGGGGTCCCAGTGCTAAGAAGTTTTGAATGAGAATTTTTACATACATATTTCAAAATGTCATGACAACCAACTGAAAACAAATAATGTTCGAATTTTTCACTTATAAATGCAACAATCAGAAATTTATAATAGATTATTTTATAAACTCAAGGGTCAGAAAATTATAAGAAGGAGAGGGAGAAAGAGGTTTACCACAGAAAAGGAGAATCTCCCCAGACAACATCCACAGACAACCAGGCCTGTAACATCAAACATATCTGGAAATCCGTCAGGACACTTATCACAAACCCTACCTTCATGTTCCTCAATCTGGCTGCGGCCTGTGAAGGTAAACTTGTGCATGTCTTAGGAGTGTACACCATGTTAAGGATTTTATGCCAAAAAAAAAAAGATTCCTTGAAACATTATACTTTTATAGAAGTAGAACTCGCTATTCTTGAGAGATTTTGCTCTGCGTGAATTATGTATAAAGGACCCTACTTTTTTACTTTATTGGACAGTAAAACACTCTTACAGCGAAGTTCCAGGGATGAGAAGTTTTGTTTCACTATAAAAGTATTTAGTTAAATCCGTTAAATTTACAATATGAATTAAGCCCACAGGGAATGAAAATCACTTCACTGTAAGTGTGAATTTATTATAAGCATGAATTATAAGCATGCTTTACTGTATCTGGATTTTATGTCTCATAACTATTATTTTTATGCCCCACCATGAATATGGCTGGGGCGTATAGTGTTTGTCATGTCCGTCTTCCACCTTCCATCCCGCTTTGCGTTTAGCTCATTTCAAAGCTCAGCTTCAAAGAAACTTATTCAAGATATTTTTATCAAACTTCATATGTTGATACATATTGATGAGAGCTATTCAACTGCATCAACATTTTTTGACCTTGATCTTTCCTTTGACCATACTTTTGTTAAATTAGTGTTTAGCTCAGTTTTAAAAAAAAACAACTCAAGATATTATATGCTTTTATTATACCTCTGTGAATTTTTTCTGCATAAAAATATTACGAATAAAAATGCTATTTTTTCCAAACAGCTCCTACCGTGGAATAGTTTTTTGCTATTTGCCCATGGTGAAATAGTCATTAAACTATTCACCGGCAGCATTCTGTTTCCCTCGCTTTTCATCTCGGAACTCTTCTGCTTTTATCCAGATTGTGACGTAACACAAGTAAAAACTGCTTCGGTATAATAAAACACCTATTTACTGACTATTCAGACAATAGCAAGTTTATCGTCCCCCTCGACAGCAACTATTTCCCTCGGCTGTGCCTCGGGAAATAGTTGCTGTCTTGGGGAACGATAAACTTGCTATTGTCCTCATAGCCAGTAAATAGGTGTATAATATGTTTTAGTGAGAGCTATTCAACTGCATCAAAAACTTTTGACCTTGACTTCACTTTTCTTAAATTTTAATTTAGTTTTAAAGAAACTATGTAAGCTATTTTTATGTAAGCTTACGCACTTATACATAATTTGGTGAGAATTTATCATCTTTATCCATTTTTTTTAGAATTCAATTTTAAAGCAACTATTTAAGATATTCTCATCAAACTTCAGACACTAATACAGATTTTCATGTTGCATTACTAATATATCCTCGGCAGGGCATTCATGTCCTATGGACATATTTTTAGTTGTCCAACTTTCAACATATGCATTATTTCAAGGTAAATGATTTGATTGTAAAGGGAGGGCACTACATGACAAAGTGATTTTGTAGGAAACTTGCTGGCAGGATTTGCTACTTTTGCTCCAAAGTTTATAGAAGCTCAATTCAGTCTACTGGCCTCAGATGCTGCTCAGTATGTGGGTAAGAGATATCTGAATATGTAATACATATAGTCATGTAACTATGAATTGTATTTCCGGAACCTTTTGTTGTTTTGTAATGCTGTAGAAATCAATTAAAAGATTACAATTTAAAAGACTGTGATAAAATTGAAAAAAAAACAAAAACTTTTGAAAGATATAAATGTGGCCATCAGGGATAGATGTAATAATTGACTTATTAAATCTGTAGTTTTTCAATGCATCACCAATCATGTAAATGTTCTGGAAGCAGGAAAGAAAGCTTGGAATCCATTTTTTTTGTAGGTTATGCCGCTATACCAGCAGGAGGTGGGGGCACCTTTCTGGGAGGGTACCTGGTCAAGCGGTTTAACCTGGGAGTACGTGGAATTATCCGATTCTGTCTGGCCATCAGTATCCCATGCTTCCTCAGTGTTCTTGTCTTCCTTGTCAATTGTGAAAATGTGTTGTTTGCAGGAGTAAATATTGACTACGGAGAATTGGCCAGCAATGGGTAGGTATTGAAAGACATAACAAAGTGGAGTATTGACATCTATCAAATGTCACATGTTGAAGCAAAAATTTTTAAGTACTGTACTAATGACATATGTAGTTGTGATAATTTATATCTAAAATGATGCAAACACATTGGCTTATGTAGCAAGGACAAAATTTTTGGTTGTGCTAGTCAGTAGTGTCAGGTAACATTTGTCAAATATGATACACTCTTGTGGATTCTGACTATACAAATACATATACAGGACTGGGAGCTGGAGATTACTAAGAGATCAAAACCACAAAATTATAGAAGCCAGCTGCAGGCAAGCTTTTCTATAATATATGACTGAAGTTTATATTCTTTCAATTTATAGACTTTATAAACTTTCAATTTATAAACTTTATAAACTTTCAACCCAATATATTTTTTGTAGGAATTTAGTATAGAGGCAGTTTACTAATGTAAAAAAAAGTGTAATAATAATTTTCTGTACCTGCATTTCATATTAAATAGGAAAAAAGTCAAAATACTCTACCCTACATAAGCATACTATGATCTTACATACTGTTTCTGCAAATGTCTTAATTTAAAGATACATGTACATGTGAAGTGCATGCAGAATATACACTGTATGTGTACATAAAAAAAGATTTACAAAGATTTTTCCTCTATATTCCTATGTAAAACTTTGATTGCCCATTGTTGTCCCATCCTTACCCCAGAGGATTATAATTAGAATCTTCAGCTTTTTGTGTGCTAATGATAGATAAAATTCATTCGTAAAAGTTGGAGTATTTTTGAGAACTTCATTCACATTTCATTTCTTTATCCACAAAATTGCAGAAATTCTTCCCTGATACTAGTATACGCCGACATAATCACGTATGATTTCAGAACATTGAAAATCTGAATATTTTTGGATTTTCAGAACACGATCACTGTAATAAAATATTGTAACTTTTTCATATCTTTTAGTACAAGGAAATTTCTTGGAAAGTTCAGCACAAGTAGCTGTAACGCTAACTGCGGCTGTACTCTGGAGAATTACAACCCTGTATGTGGTATTGACGGAATCATGTATTACTCCCCTTGTTACGCAGGCTGTAGTAACTCTATCCCGGGAACAGACCCTGTGGTAAGTTAACCTGTCTGTAACATCTATTTTTTTATGTACAATATTTTTTTTGGTTCTATATAACACATTGCTAAATCTGAATATCCTTGCCTTGTACTTGTAGCAATACCAGAATTGTAGCTGTGTGAGTTATGACACCAGCACCATGCCCTCCTACATGGCTGTCACCGGGAAGTGTGAGAGCTCTTGCTCCATGTTACCTCTCTTTATGGCCATCTTTTTCCTCATCATGTTCTTCACCTTTGTTATCAGCATGCCTGCTCTATCAGCCACCCTCAGGCAAGTATTTCAAAGAGACAAAGCAATTTGCACTGAGGAAAAATCGAAGTTTCTTTGAAATATTTTAAGTAATTAAAACACAAGAGTATCCCATTAGAAAAATTTTGACTTGGCTTAAGGAAAAGATTTGGAGGCTTTCAAATGCATTATTGGATGTTTAAATTGTAAATGTTCATTACTTCACAGGTGTGTTCCACAACATGAGAGTTCATTTGCCTTGGGAATACAATGGATAATAGCTAGGTGTCTAGGTAAGGCTTTTCAAGTAGAAACTTTTTTTTAATTATTCAAGTTCTTTTAACAAATTATTTTTCTTTGAACACCTATGTACATGTACCTCATAAAAAAATATCAAGGGCTTAGTTTTTGTTATTCTCACACACCTGGTTATATGGGTCTTCACAATCAGCTTATATTACTGTAAAATCTATATTTTTGTGGAGTCAGATTTTTGTACTTTGAGGAAAAAAAACTGGGTTCATGAGGATTTGATTTCTTGGATGAAGAATTTTTGAGTAGTTATGCATGTGACATTTTACATTTTGTGGTGGACATGAATTCATGGGTCTGTTCATACCTCGAAAACAATGAAAATTAAGCCCCCACGAAAATTAGTAATTTCTCTGTATATATTTAAGAATGGCTTCATTTTATCCTTGCATCATTTGAAAAAAGCATCATTACCTTCCTTTTTGTTTTGCATTAGGTTCGATTCCTGGTCCAATACTATTTGGGAAGATGATAGACTTGACATGCCTTTTATGGCAGAGTAAATGTGACGATAACGAGGGATCATGTTTCTTCTACAACAACAAGAACATGAGTTATAACTTGATGGGGATAGCCCTGGCTGGTAAATTTTTGTCCATCCTTTTCTTTTCCCTTTCTTTGTTCTTCTATAAAGCAACGCCTGAAAAGAAGAACGAGGAGGAGGAGGACCAATCAAAGAACTTGGATTTGAAAGTAAACAGCAACATGAATGGGAATGCTGGGATAGGAAATACCCAGAGTTCCAATACATCTACAACATCTATAACTAATGGCACGACGCACGCTGATGTGAACAAAAATAATACAAAGACAGACAGTAGAAGCACAACTAAATTATAGCAGTGCTGTACAATCTTTAAAAGCTGGAACTGTGATCTTATTGCCTTTCAAATTAAATATTTATTTTTAATTTCATTTGATTTGAGAGATGTTAATTATGTGATGATGAGAACATAAAAGAATTTAAAAATTTTGTTATCAAGATACATACACAGGTAGACAAAATATTGAAAATTTTAATGCTTTAACTAAAATTTTAAAAAATCAGATATGAGGGATTTTTTGGTACTCCAAGTATAGAGTATGAAGGGCAATTAACATAAAAGTTTTTTCTTTGGATTGTCTTTTATTTTTATTGAGATTTAGTTAACACTGGCAGTATTTTTATGCAGATATCGGTACTAGTCAGATTTACTAACTAAATACAGAAGTCAGTCATAGTACATGTTTAACTAACTTTCACTAGTCCCTAACAAATGCTGTAAATGTGTTTTGAGACAACAGTTGAAAATTTCATAAAATAGTTCATATTATTTTAGATGAGCGAATTTGTACATTGTATATTTTATTATGACAGGAAAAACATTCGAGAATTACAATGTAATGCACTGAAATACAAGAATTCACTAAAATGGAGATTTTATACAGTAGGAAAATATATACAATTTTGATTTCTATTCAGGTCTTTGTGATATTTTGCTCTGTTGTACATATCAGTATGCAAAGAATGACAAGGAGTATATATATTTGAGATTAGAGAAAGTAATGCCACATGTGTATTTGTTTTGATGAGTTGTGAATTTTCCTCTTCATGTTTCTGGTAATTATTTTATCTCGGTTTGGTCCATAGTGTCAAATACTGTAACAAGCCTTAAATATTCATTTTGCAAATTTTTCATTCCTCATTAGGGTCAAAGATCTCATGCTAGAGGATCACATGGCATTTAAGAAATCAGACCATTACAAGTTTTCTTAAATTATGGCTACTGGATGCTATGGAAATGACCCAATAACTATTTGCATGTAAAAGGCAGCTAATTGTGTATGTTTTCAGCATACTCAGAAATTATATATTTTTCAACTTCCAAAAAATTACAGCATTTCACATCTAATTTTTTTAAGTTGGATATATTGTATATATTATTATGTACTGTCAACCTCTGCTCTCTTTATAAAGAGATTAAATTTATAATACTGTTTGTTCATCTAAAAAGCTCTCTGTTATGCTGATATAAGATATAAGTACCATTTCTGTATCATTTGTTCATGTGTTAACACAGTTTAGAATATATTTTCATAGATGTTTACAGTTTTGTTAATCATGTAGAATAACTATTGTGCTAGATGAGATTATTACATATCTTGGAACCAAAGAATTTTTATACATTGATCATGTTCACTTGTGGTGGTGTCTTCTAGATGTGTGGGTTTTTTTTAACAAACCAGATGGTGCTATGAATATAACATATCAGCTAGATATTTTCATACTGTAGAATTCTGACATCCTAGTTACAATGTGTGGTAGGCATACTGTATACAGGGAAATTTTTGCTAGTTTTATTTCTGCCCTCAATGCAAGTCTGTGAATTTAAAGTGGGGCAAATTCAAATATCCAAGTTATCTCTTTATCACATGTTTAGGTAAATTTGAAAGAGGCATAAACGTTTGCATGTGTGATAGAGCAAAAATAACACAGGTGGAAAATAACCCTGTATACAGTATATGTTTTAAGATACGCATTTCGTCTTTGTCTTCCATGTCGCCCTTCAGGTTTGTGACAGTTTTATAGGTATTAATCAGTAGAAAGTGAAATTTTATTAACTGGTTTTAATGAAAGGTTTGAGAAAAAAAATCACTTTTCTTGCAAGAATCATTAGATCAAAGATAATAATAATTGTTAATTCACTCTCAGCCTTTTTTATTGGTGATAAATTATTATGTACATGTGTATTTTATACTGCAGAAAGAATCACAAATCAAATGTAGAATTGTTTGCTAAGTGTTTGAACTAGTCATGTATGTAGGGTCTATATGTTTACTGTCAAGCCTGTACTATATACTACTACATTATTTGTTAAATAAATACATGTATTATTGAAATGTTTATATGTGATGTAATTCATGTACATGTAATTTCGTTGAAAAAAAAAAATTACATGCATGTTGAGATTCATTGAATAAAAAATTGGCAAACGATAACTTTCTTCGCATGTGTGTTGGTCTTTAGTACTAAAGGTCCTAAAAAAGGCCCCCAATTTTTGTGTGACCTGCTAAGCAGAGAAACATTCAAAGATCTTTTGTATGTACATGTATTTCTCAGACTCTTGGGTTCTTGTGAATTGTAGATAGGGATCTGTATCCCCTTGCAATGAAGTTGGAGGGAATATAGTAACGTGCTTGTGTGTGAGTGAGTGGGTGCCATACCTTTTGTAAAATTTGAGATATAACTTCAACATGCACAATAACAAAAAGAATTCAATTTCAACATAATTCTTTCTTCGAAATAGTTGGTATTAAGGGTTTGATATTCATTTGTAAAATTGTACATTGCAATATTTTTCTTAAAAAAAACATGGACATTACAAGACAAACCTGAATCTGCACTCCTGATAATATCACAATCTTGGCTGTGCTGTTCTTTTGGGGCACAAAAGATCTTAAACATTTTTTTCCTATTTATGCCCATGTAAAACTTTAATCCCCTTTTGAGGCCCCAACCTACTGATGGGCATATTTGGCATGTATTCTGCAGGAATTGTATATACAAATCATTCATATGTGAAATTATATATCACAACTTCCTATAGTCTAAAGAAAAAACCTATTGATTTTGAGGTCCAAAGGTCAAGGTCAGATTCATACATTCTGTGTAACACTTTCGTTTCCAGAAGATCTTTTTGAGGTTTATTGAAATTTCATGCCTTGTACAACTCCTTATGGCATATAAAAGACCCCTTTTGATTTTAAAGTATAAAGATAAATGGTCAAGGTAAGAAATCTACTCATTGCAAATTACAGTTTCCAGATGGTAACTTATTATAAGTGTTCTTTGAGCTTTTTTCAATGAAATTTAATATCACTACTCCCTATGGCCTAAAAAAGACCACTTGATTTTGAGGTGATTGTGTCTGTGGTAACACTTTCATTTCAGGCAATATCTTAAGAAACCTTTGAGATTTTGCACTGAAATTTTATATCACAACTTCCTGTTACCTAAAGAAGACCCATATTGATTTTGAGATCAAAAGGTCAAGGTTAGAAATCATTCACAAAGAAATGATTTCCAGATAACTTTAGTTCTCTTAACAATTGGGGCCTTAAGTGCCAGCGGGCACGAGAGGATAGGTGTTTTGAGGTTGGTTCTGTTAGAGATTTTATAACTCCGTGTGACTTAAAGAAGACCCCTATTGAATTTAAGGTCAAAAGGTCAAGGTCAAAAATTCATACAATGCAAAAAAAGGTTTCTAGATGATAATGCGAGTTTTCCTTGAGCTTTTTTCTAGGAAAGAAGATGGGTGAACAAGGCGTGCAGAATGCCTATAGCTTCAGATAAAAAAAAATCATTCAATTTGTGAATGAAGTATTTTAAGTAAAGTTCTCATTATTGAAATTTGTGAAATTATGATCAAGAAAACTTTTCTGAGAAAAAAAAAAGATCTCGGAAAAAATTATTCTTTTATTAAAAAATAAAATGGTATTCGTGGGATTCGAACCCTAGCAATAAAAGCACGGAGTATCATATTGCTTTGAGACTAACACGCTAACCACTACGCTACACAGCTCCTGATGAATTGTCGCATTTAAATCATGTTTGTGATATGACCCTTGACTAAATGGACTTCAAGTATTTCTAGGAAAGATGCAAATGCTTTGTCATAAAAGTGTACTTTTAAGGTATAGTGGGTCTTTGCTCCATATTTTTGTAAACCAAAAAATGTAGATTTTTATGCAAACTTTTAGGATTAACTTTCAACAAAATGGAGCGAAGACCCACTCATATCGAAAATTTTTGTTAAAGTATGATAAAATGATCCTTTTTGTCCTCTTTAGTGTGTGTATGCTATTTCATAGGCAAATAATTTCAGTCTTTGTGAGATTTTTGTCAATTGCAGAGATTTTACATAAAGTATACTTCAATGTTAGATGAAATATCAAAGAAAATTCTGATATAATTGAGATTTTATTTTTCACTTCATGTTTGTCACACTACAGGCACTTCGCCCGCCTTGTTTACCCGTCTTCTTTTATGTCATAACTACCAATGATATGACATTATGGCATATTTTAACAAACCAATACACAACATCAGAAAAATAATTACATTCTTTTTTTAAATCACAGGAACCTGTTACATCAGTAGAATGCTAAATTCATGTGACAGATCAAGGAAATTTTCATTTATTGAGTGCACCTAAATACTTGTCGAATCCAAATCTAATGTGTCAAGCTCTTTCGATCTGCACTACCTGGGGATGCTTGCGTATTAATACACGTATCACTATATATGGTCTTGTTATTCTTGAGATTGTTTAACCTTTTCTTATATACAATGTATTCCTATGTAAAACTAATTTGTTGGGGCCCCACCCTACCCTTTAGGCCATGATTTGGGCAAAATTGAATCTGCATTACCTGGGAATGTTTGCATATTAATATCACTCATCATGGTTCTGCTGTTTTCAAGAAGACAGTAAAACATTTTTTCCTAAATATTTGCCCATATATTCCCATGTAAAACTTTGATCCTCTTTTGGGGTCCCACCTTACTCCTGGGGACCATTATCTGAATAAACTTGCAATAAAAAAACAACTAAACAAGCAACTTTTGAGGGAGATGCGTTATTTCCCCTTGATGATCAATAATATAAGGATACAAGAGTCATATCCCTTTATATTTAATATTTAAAAAAGAACTTGCAAATCCCGAGGATGCTTGCATATTAATATGACTAATTATGACCCTGCTGTTCTTGAGAAGATTTTAAAACATTTTTCCTATATATTCCCATGTAAAACTTTGATCCTCTACTGGGGCCCTACCCTACCCCTGGGGACCATTTTTTGAATGAACTTACTTTGCACTTCCTGAGGATGCTTACAATATGCAGTTGCACCTCGTTAATTGTGCTCCCAAGCATATTGTCTGGATTAATGAGGCATCCAGATTACTGAAACATATTTGGTAATATTATATATATATATATATATATATATATATATATATATATATATATATATATATATATATATATATGTATATATAAATATTAATATACATTTATATAAAACAATATTATAAATTGTTCCGAACAAGTTTTGTCTGCAAGGTGAAGCATCCAAATTATTGGCATCCGGATTAACAAGGCTCCATTACATTTTTATCCCCCAACCTACCCCCTGGGACAAACTTGAATATACACAATGTCATGAGTTTCATCTTTTCTGGAACCTAATAAGGTTCATGAGAAGGAGATTTTTTAGTTATTATCTCCATTTGAAAGAGGGGGTGACCCTTCACTTGAATCCCCTTTCAATCTAGGATATTTTAAGGCAAGTTTGGTTGAATTTGACCCAGTGTTTCTAGAGAAGTTCAAAATGTGAAAAATTTACAGACCACACTCAACAGATGGAAACTGGATACTCTTCGATCAGAAAAACTCAACCTGAGACGAAGGCTCAGGTGAGCTAACAAACTGAATCAGGACTACCGGTACATGGAAATACAAGTATTTGCATATTTATAGGAACTTTGCTTTGAGAGGTCTTGACTTTACAATTTGAAATACAGACTGTATGGAAATGCTTCATATAAAACTGATAATTGTAGCCCAGCTCAGGAGAAAAATTTTAAAACGATTTTTACCTAAATATTCCTTTGTCAATTTTTGACCCCCTATTGGGGACCCATCTAAATCAGAGAAGGGGTTTTGAATAAACTTGATATAACAGTTCTTATGCCTGGTAAATTTTGCCTTTTCTGGGCCAGCCATTCAATGATCTCCTTCATATTTACACTATTACTACAAGTATTCTCCTTGGAAAAAGAGTGTGTCCTTTCATTTGAATACCCTTCTGTCAGTGATGCTCTGGTGGCCACTTTAGTTGAATTTGCCCCATTTCTTCTAGAGAAAACAGATATGTGAAAGCTAACACTGGCAAAAAATATAAATACATATACTCTATGTACATACATAATATATGCAAGGGAAACTGTGATTGAAGAAGGCTTTAGAAGCTCACTTGATTGATTGATTGTATGCTGTTTTACGTCCCATTCGAGAATTTTTCACTCATACAGAGACGTCACCATATACCGGTGAAGGGCTTCAAATTTTGACCTTTACTCGGCACTTACGGCCATTGAGCAGTGAGGGATCTTTATCGTGCCAACGCCTGCCGTGACACGGGGCCTCGGTTTTTAAGGTCTCATCCGAAGGACCCGCAACTTTAACTTCAAAGTGCCGAGCGCATGGCGAAGGAACAGTTGCTACCCATTTTTTATCGACTTAGGTCAGTCGGGCCGAGATTCGAACTCACGACCTCCCGATCACGGAGTGAGAAGCTCACTTGAACTTTGGGCTAAGGTGAGCAAATAAAATAACATTACAGACCAACTGACCTTGACTATTTAAACACTTGAGACAATCAATCTTTGGACCCTGTGTATTGTACATCACACTGGACCATAATATATTAATAGGACAACTGATCTAATGACGTTCACCTTTATTGCCCTATATCTATTGAACTAAATCTGTGGGCCTTTATGTTTAGTACAAGTTTGCTCTCACAAAAATAATTTTTTATAGCTGAAAAAAAGAACAACAAACAGTCAGCTTTCTACACATGCTTTATTGAAAACAATTTCCAACAATCATGATATATATATAAAAACATGCAGTAATCATTAACAACCATTTATGAATTGTCCTCTCATGCAGAAGACTAATACTCTAAATGAACAATGTGTAATACTCTGTTAATGCCCAATCAAGGCCCTCTCTGTCAATGGTTTCTTATGATGTGAACACGCAGAGAACAGTTCTTGAAGAGACTTATCAGCTATTTCTTCTGACAGGAAATGAATACATTATTATGAAAGCATTACAAGATTCATCTGTAAAGATCATTAATTAAAATCGCCCGTGATATGCCAAATTGTTTGTCATGACCTGCTGGTGCTGGTTGGGTTGTGTGACAACCATTGGGGGTCCTTGTGTGGGATGTTGACCAGTGTGGGAGATGATCATGGAACCTGCTGGGGGTACTTGAGGACTGGTCTGGGAGATGACTACTGGCCCTCCATTCATGAGGGAGGGACCAGCCTGTGAGATCTGAATGGGGTAAAGGACTGATCCACCAGGAGGTAGAATCTGGTGTCCAGGAGCCATGATTGTTTGTGGTGCCCCCTGTGGCTGAGGTCCTGGAATCCTCATCGCCTACAAGAAATAAATACATACATGCTAAACAATATAGTGTGGTTGATTGATTGTATGTTGTTTTACATCCTATTCGAGAATTTTTCACTCATATAGAGACATCACCATATACTTGTGAAGGGCTTCAAATTTAGATCTATACTCTGTACTCAGGGCCTTTGAGCAGTGAGGGCTCTTTATTGTGCCAAAGACTACCGTGACATGGAATCTGGAATTTTAGGGTCTCATCTGAATGGCCCGTGACTTTCACTTCTAATGTGGGTGCTTGGCGAAGTAACAGTCATAACCTATGTTTACGTCTTAGGTTTGATGCAACACCTAATGAATTATATTACAATTAAAGGGTGTTCTCATCTGTGCAAAGTCATCTTGTTATTTACTGATTACATCACTTAAAAGGGGCACTACTCTAAATTTAATCGCAGCATTGCCAAATTAGTAAGGACATAAGTTTATCAGTTTCTTTTAAAAGCAAAAATAACACTGGTATGATATTTTCCTGTACATTTGGATGACATAACATCTTTTTATCTGCCATGTTGCTGTCCAAACTTTGAATTTGCTGTCCAAAGAAATATTGATGGCAGGCATGTGCAGTCTGCTATCCAATGGCAGAGCATCGTTCTAGTCTGAGGCTAAAAAAGGGCTTATGTACATTTAAATATTTGAGAAAATGTTAAAGACACATTTTTAGTTTGCTCTTATGTGTTCTTAACAAAATATTACAAATATTGAAATAAATACAAGAGTATGAGATGTACAGTATTGATCTGCAACATATATCTGATCTGCTGTTTATACATTGTATAAAATAAGGGGTTATTAACATTTAAAAAATTTTATGATTACATATACATGTATTTTGAATATGTTTAAACTGTCAATGATTTTTGGAAGTACAGTATAATTTGTCCGAACCAGAAACCACTGGTTCCATAAAAATTGTGGTGTTTAGAAAGAATCTGGAGTGCAGGAAAAAAAGCAGGAAAATATCTGAAATTCATTTCTGTTATTTTATTAACAAGTACAATGCATATGTTTGCAAAATATAATTAAGTGATTTAATCATTCAATATTTTGGGAGTCCAAAAATTATTCAAGAGTATATGCATGACTTACTTTCAATTTTTTCTTTTTCGTTCACAAAGTGAAAGACCCCAAACTCAACATGAAATTTAAACGGAGTCTACAGACACATACTGTACATATCAAGCACAGGTTTTGCATGTCAAAACATTCAACATAACCATAACCGCAATTATTTACCATTTGATAGTTCTTGAATTGACATCTAAATTTTCATGAAAACATTCACGTCTTCCGTCAAATGTAAGTGTCCCATTTTTTTAAACTGGACGTTTCAGTTTCGATCCCAATTTAATGTATATATTTTGATTTGTAAATATTGTCATTGATTTTATGTTATACTGTGTGATATGGCATTAAAAGCACGTTAATCGTGCAAGTATTTTTTTAAATTGATTTATTTGTAACTAAATCTTTTACATGTGTGTATTTATTCAAGTGGGCTGCGTCACCAAAAGGTTTCAGTTCGTCTCATGGTACTTACATGTATGTAAACACACGTTAGCACATCTACCACAGAATAAATTGCATTGAAGTGAACAGGTAATACTGTATTATGTGGCCGGATTTAGAGGAAATAATTACCGTTAATTATAAGCTGGTTGGAATACAGAATAGACAGTATCTGGACTACACAGAATTTTTTTATGATACATTTCTCATTTAAGTGCATGGGACTAAAATTTAAAGCCGAAACGGACAAAATTCCAGAGTACTCAGAATCTGGATTAGACAAATTATACCGTACATGTAAGTTTTAAACTCTAAACTCATGTGAAAAGTTAAGTATAAATTTGAACACTGAGCAATGTCAATGCAATTGTACATATAGAAAAAGAAGCCCTTTTAATGAAAATATTGATTACAAAACTGAACCCTTTATTTGATCACAAGGTATGTGTATCTAAGTTTCTGGTTCTGTATATTTACATGTACATACAAATGTACAAGTATACTTACAAATATTTTACTAATCAAAACCACTAACCTGTTGAGTGGAGTTGAGGGGTTGAACACTTGAGGGTGGTTGAACTAAGGGCTGAGGGGGCCCCACATACTGGAACTGTACCGGTGGGGTAGAGAGAGGCTGATTTCCTGTCACTGACTGAGGAAGCGGCATCTGACAAAAACAAGTCTCATTTAATGTTATTTCGAATTACAATACTAATGGGTTAAAAATTTCTTCTATGTTAAAACTTGTATAGACCAACAATCATGTTTGAATGGCAGGTCCTGACATACAATTTAATATAAACGAGCATTATTAAAATTTAAAAGAAAAAAGTTCCCAAAGGTAATACTTGCAACATACTACCCTCCTTCTTACTTTCTCAGAAAGTCTTTAAGGAAAGATGCCGATTTTAAAACTTTAACCCCTTCCCCTTTTCATTAAGAACTTAACATGGGACATTGATTTCTATACTTACTCTGCCTCCCACTCTTTCAGTGAGAATTTTGCGTGGGACATTGAAGATTTTTGAGGCCTTGTTAACAGACATTCCATCTTTCAGCACTGCAGAAACAGCTTGGTCCATGGTCTGATCTGTCCAGTAATAGTTGGGCTTTTTACGTCCTGCATCATCCTGTTAAAAAATAGTAATATTCATAGAAGGCATTTCTGTGTTAAGAAATTTTTATCTCTGAAATCTTATGAGTTATAAGCAGAGGAATATGAACAGCTATCCCTTGGATAAGAAATCATATTCAATGGACCTTTTGACCAACAAACTGAGTTCAGGACAATGTTGATTTGTAGAGTGTGATTTAACATCCACATGATACTTAAATTGTACACCCTGATCAATAAAATTTGTATGAGAAACTTACAATCATCATTCTCTGTTGCTGTAAGTACTGAGGTGGGATATTGGGCGGGGCCATTGGGTTAGCTCCACCTCCTGACAAATACTGGATATTTGCCATTGGCTGTTGTGGGGGATTCTGCATTCTCTGTTGTTGCTGTTGAAGAATGTTTGTCAGATTCTCTCTAGAGGCTCTCCTGAAATCCTCACCTTGCTGGTAAAACAAGAATCCATACAGCCATTTAAAAATACAATCCGCACTCCCACTTGTGTATGTAAATAAAAAAAAAAAATATTCACCTCCATTTCCAGGGGGTTCGATGAAGGAGGTGCCCCTGTCATACTGGAGGATTGAGGTGGTCTGTCCCTCTGGTTGTTATGGCTACTAGACCTCCCAGAGGCATTTGATTGGTTGCTTCCTTCTGTTGTGTTTGTGTCACTGGCATTATTCTGGGTCTGCATACAGACTGGCATGTGGGTAGGCCAGTGAATCTGTTGGCAGGGATAGTCACAATAGCTTGTATTCCAACAGCAGTAAAATATAGCCTCCTTACCACAGTTTGCACACTGTCAAAAAAAGTATGTTCATTATCAGAAAAATCTAATGTAAGCATTACTGTAGATTCCTAAATATACGCGAAGAATTAATTATCGCGTAATTTTGCGAGAAGCACCACTTGTGAAATAAAATTACTTGCTTCTATTTTCATGGTGCTAAAATCAATGTAAAATCTCTTGATGAACCGTCTACTCGCGAATTATTATTCTCGCTATTTGACACTCAAGGGCCATTTCGCGATAATAAGTACTCGCGAAAAATAAGGAATCTACAGTATTCAAGATACTTAGTCTGGAAGATGAGTTTACAAATGTATACAGAGTTTCACATCTTGTAATTATGTGCAGTTGTATAAATTTTTACCCATTGTTTTTTCTTGGTTTCTGTAACGGTTTTCTCCAGTTCTTTGTTATGAGCGGCCTTCAAGTCCACAATTATTCGCTGCTTTTCTGCCTCCCACAATGTTTTCATCTCAGCCACAGTCAATTCTGTTGTACAAAATGAAAGAATTCATTGTCAGTGTTGAAATCGCCAATAAATATTTACCCCCCCCTCCCCCCCAAAAAATTGTTACCTCCAAACTCTGTTTTCCCAAGATTTAAACTTTATTAAACTACCAGTATGACTTCACTTAATTTCAATGTACAATTCGTGGTATTCAATGATTTTGAATAAAAACTGTTTGCAGTTTACACACACAAAAAAAATTGTGTTCAACCATTAATTAACTTGTTTCCTAGATAAAAACTATGGACAATGAATATCTGTTGACTAGTTAAAACTGTCATTAAATCTCCACAACTCACGGAAATTATGCTTGAGCTCTGCAATCTGTTGCTTCTGTTCCCAATCAATACGTGCAAGTTCAGCTTCTGTATTCACTACTTCTTGTGGCTGATCCTAAAATTATTAGACTGCTTAGAAATCTCATTACAAAAATTACACTTGCTGATCATTAGGGACTAATTCTTACAAAGTTTCAGGAAAACCAATAAATTAAAGATCAGCGAGATTGAATTAGAACTTAATACAAAAAAATGAGCCGTATCAACATTGGGTTTTTAATTAGACCTACAGTTGATCGTTCAGCCTTTGACATAATTTCTGAACACATTTCCTCCAGTGACGACTGCATACTAGCCATCATCTACAGAAAGACAATGTACACTGAAAATAAACATATCCCAAAGACTTAAATTTCATACCAGATTTTGTTTGAGCCAGTTCATAAAATCAAGTTATCAAAAAAATTCTCATACGGTAATTTATTCATTTAGCCTTTACCTCGTTACCAGTATAGAATTTCAATCTTTCATTAAGGAGTAATAAATTTTCAATTGGAATATAATGTCAATCTTTCTTAAAGGAGGAATACATTTTCAGTTGGAAGTACCTATTCATATCTTTGCATTATCTTTCCAAGAAGTAGAGCAGTTTTAAGCACTTGATCAATACACTGAAGATTTTGAGTTTTACTTCAGCCAGTGTTTTTAATTTTTTCTTCAACAAATATCACTAAAATTGCTATTTTATCCTAAATCATGCATTTTAAAAAAGATTTATATTGAAACCAAATGTATATATCATTAAAATCTAATACTTTCCATCCTTTGTAGTTTAACTAGGTGCTATGTACCTCCTTAAACTTTACTTTTGTAGACAAATTACAATTTCTTGATTATAAGCAGGTATTCACTACAACCTTGTTCAGTAAAAACATGATAAACCATATAGATTACCATACCCTTTCAGAGAATGACTTGACAAGATCCTGGGCATACTGTGGCAGTTCTTTGTGGTCTGTGGACGTTTGGTTTGGGGGCTGAACCTGTGATTTAGGAGGGACCTCCTCTAATGTCACTTTTGGCTTCTCTGGAATCTTCTTTGTCCACTCTATGACCTTTCCTGTACTGGTCTGGACACTTGTGGGACTCGTTACTGACGTGGTGACAGTGATTTGGGGTTGTGGGCTTACTTTTGGCACTTTGGAGACATGAACCACAGTAATATCTTCCTCTGATAACTTCCTTTTTGGAGACAGTAAACTGGTGGGGGCTGGGGCTGAGTGGAGGGACTTTTCTATAGCAGACTGGAAAAACTCGGAGGATAGGCTGACAATGGAACCAGAAGGCTTTGGTATTGCAGGCTTTGGTAGTATGGCAGGTGGTTGAACAGGTTTTCTGTCCAAAAATAAAACAATTCAATCATCCCAAAATTATGCACAGATGTATCTACTTACTTGGTTATACTGGTACTTTCTTGAATTTTTTACATTTCCTGTTTGCAATTAAGCTGAACTTATACAGAGAATTTTCTTCAAATATATACTTGTAACTATGATTCACATACATTCTTGTAAAAGTACATGTATAGAGAGACATTGAATGGTTCCACTTTATATACTGTACATCACTTTATTTTCGCGAAATCTTATCTTCACGAATTAGCTATTTGGTAATTGTGAGACAAAAGTTTTGCAAACTGTGGATATTATTGTATATAATCCTTTACAATACAAATATATGCAAAAGTGAAATTTTTCACGAGCAGACAAACTCGCATAATTACACAAAACAAAGTTCTTGTGAATAAAAACTGAAAAACAGTACTGTATACAATATTTTTTTGGCATTATCACTTTTGCAAATGATTTTGCCCCATTTAAAATTCGCCCATTTTCAGTTGTATTAAAGAAAGAACTAGACTTCTTTTCATTCGCCCACTTTCAACGAGGGCAAAAGGAGTGAAAATAAAATGAGGGCAGAAATTTCCATGTACATGTATATAGCATAACATCAGTGTTCATGCTTATTTTTTCCTATAAAGTAATCCAAATGTCTAAATACAGTACAAAGTAAATCTGCCAAGGTTCTTACTTGTTAGTTTTCCTGTAAACAATACCAGGTCTCTCCTTCCCTTTTGGTGACACACTTGTCTCTGATGATTTTGAAGGTGAAGTCAATGGAGTGATGACCTTTTGACCTCCCTCCTCCACTTCCTCTGTGGATTTGTCCACATCTTTCTCTGGTTCCTCACTCTCCACCTCCATTTCCAGTGGCATGTCGGTCTCCTCCACCTCTTTCTCTGTTGTGTCTGGAACACCAGAAGAATCTTCCTCCTCTGAATTATGTTTTGAAGATTCAGTGGTTTCTTCTGCAGCCTCACTGTCCTTTCCTTTGTGTAAGCTTTCAGCAGTTCTATTTTCACTTTCAGCACTGTTATTCCTGTCTGCCATTTTGGTTGGAGATTTATTATCCACTGTGACTCTGGATGCAATATTATTGTCTTCTTTGACCTTAGTTGGGCTTTTATCATGTTCACTCTCAGTAACTTGACTACCAGATGCTTCAGTTTCCATCAACTCAAAAATGTTTTTCTCTGTCTTTTTGGTTTCTGTCATCACATCTGTGCTGCTGCTACAGACCTGGTCTTGTTCAGTGGTGTCCTCTTCCTCTGGAGGCATACTCCCCCCTGGAGACTTCAGTGAGGACTCCTGGGATTCCTCTTCTGTGTCCACAACACCTTTGTTCTTCTCCATCTCCTCCTCTTCTTCCTCCTCCTCACTGTCCTCCTGTGAGGAATGTTCCTCATCTGCCTCCTCTAGATTGTCTCCAGAAATTCCCAGCTTGTCTTTACATGTCTGTATTGTTTTCTGGAGTTTTGCCAGATATTCTGTCTTTGATGGAGAGGCACTGTCTGATGTTTTAGAGGTATGGCATGGACTTGACTCTCTTTCTTTCACATTTTTGGATATATCTCCTTCATTTGTTTCACATGTCTTTTCCCCAACGGTTTCTTTCTCATCATCCATTTTTGATAGTGTAGCACTAGAAGTAATTTTTAAAATAACAGCAGTAGTTTGAGCACTTTCTTGATTCTTAGATTCTTCAGCACTAGGCTTTGCACTAATTTGTCCTGTTGATGGATCAAGAATGGAGTCATGCTCTGAGTCACTATCCACATTTTCTTCCTCCATTTCCTCAATTTTACTCTGAATTTTGTCCAAAATGTCACTTTTCTCACTAGAACTTTGTTTTTCTGAGGAAGAATCAATGACTGAGTTCTGTTTTTCCTCTTCCATGGTCTCCTCCTCATCCCCTTCACTCATGGCCTCAATCTTGCTCTGAATTTTGTCCACAATGTCACTCTTTATTATGCTGGTTTTTGCTGTGGTGATTTTTATGGTGTTTGGTTTAATTTCCTCAGTAATTTTTGGTTTTGATGAACCAACAGTTGATATTTCTGACGGTGTTTCCATTTTAACAGTCTCTGAAGAGCCTAAAATTCCACTTGCTCTTACCACCCCTGGAGTCTCGGTCTTCACTCCCTGTGGTGAGTCCCCAGTCCCACGGCGAGTTGGAACAATACTGCTGTACTTGTTTCTCACAGCAGAAGCTTGTTTCATCAGTAATGACTGCTTGTCACCTTTACCGTCTGAAGCTTGGCGACTGATCCCCATTTTGATGGGTGAGGCAGGTTTGATGGGAGAGGCTGAGACAGATTGCTTGGAGGACTTTCTGAGGACTGCTTTGGTGGGTATTTTCATCTTGTTGTGGAAGTATACATGGTTCTTGTCATAAGGAGTTCTGAATGGAGCATAGTCAAATCTTCCAAACTTCTCCCTGGTAAAAAAAAAAAAGTAAGGTAATGCTAATCTCCTTAGTCATGAAAAAACAGCTATGTATATATAATATAAAGCTATATGTATATATATATATATATATATATATATATATATATATATATATATATATATATATATATATATATATATACACTGAAACTTGTCTAATTCGGATGTTGTGTAATCGAAAATCTTGTCTAATACGGTGTAAACTTTAAATCCCATTGCAGTAAATTCAGTTGTTTTAAATGTTGTCCAATCCGGAATGTTGCCTTATCCGGCCAATTTTTTTGGAACCAGTGGTGTCCAGATTAGACAAGTTTTACTGTATGTATATATATATATATATATATATATATATATATATATATATATATATATATATATATATATATATATATATATATATACATAAATATATATATATATATATATATATATATATATATATATATATATATATATATATATATATAAGGGTGAAGACAAGAGAATGTTCCCTTATGTATCAAATACGCGATAAATCCCACATAATAAAGACAGCATCTCATTTCAATTTCTCAGCCCTAACAAGGAAATTGAGAAAAAAAACATCTCACCTAATTTTCTCTATGTGAAGTTCAGTCTCCTCCATGGCATAGTCAAACCCTCCCTTTTTGCTCTTCACAGGGGTAGGGATTTCTTTGGATAGCATAAATACTTGGGAAGTTGGAACCCATGATCTGTAATTAAATGTTCATGGTACATTAACACAACTAAACATTTAAACATTCTATCTGGCAATCAAGACTCTATACCAATCTGACCATATTCTTTTACATTAAGATCTGCTTAATAAAATTTAAAATGGTTTAATACTATGAAATTCTCCTTTTCTCTCCTTAAATCATGTACATTGTACTTAGAGTTTGTGGTGAAAGAACTAATAATGAGAGTACAATTTATACTAATTAAACCAAAATCCAACCTATCATGGGCTCCAAAGAAGCGAACGTCCACTTGTCCGTCAACTTCCCGTAAGGCCTGCAAGAGAGGAACAGGATTGAAATTTACAGAATCTATGTGAGGTGTTCATACAAATTTATATCATGATCTTCAAGCATGCTAAAGCAATGTGAATTCAGCAGGAATAAAAGTATGAAGTCCAAAATCAGGCCAACTCTTACACACGTATAGCATAGAAATAAGCATTAGGATAAGACAGAGATGTGCTTTAATATATTTAAACATGTAGAGAATATTTTACTTTAGAATAAAATTTTGTTTCAAATTAAAGAAATTGAAAGCAAGTTAATCTAATGCAGGTCAGAGGTATGATTGTGAGTTTTCTCCAGATATCACACAAGTACACTGTAAGGAATCTGTGAACCAGTGCTGAGTGAAGAAATCGGTGGTGGGGTATTTACTTGTTCAGGGTAATATGGAAGATTCAGAACAGCTTGCTATAGATATATATATTTATTTTCATTTAATGATTTCTAAAAAACCATCTAGTGAATTTTCCTATCTCCACCACATGTATGGAAAAGTTTGCATTCAATATATTTTTGAAAAGCTTGTTTCAACTATTGATGTTACATAAAGCATTTTCTGCTTGTTAACCTACATTTTAATAGATAAGATTTTTAAAATATCCAAAAACATATATTCAATAGAAGATGTCAACATGAAATACTTTCAAATCTGAAAAAAAAACTTATCCTTTTCAAAATATACATAGATATGTATGAAGTAATTAAAATAAATATGTAATCAAGATGAATACATGTACTTGCAAAACAGTATTAAACACAGAAAAACATACAGAGTGATGAACACAGTTTAATGCATATAATTACATATTTACAATTTTTTAGATATAAAAAAACACTGTCACAGTGCAACATAAAATTTACATTTTTTAATAGGTCTGAAAATTTAAAATAAATTAATTTTTCTGAATTTTCCTCAGATTTAATAATGAAGACCTTGAATACAAATTGTATAGTTTGGTAATTTACAAACAAAACGCAACAAAGAAATACATGTATACAAAACAGTTGTAACAAAACATAATTTGAAAAAAAAATCTTTAAATTAAACATAATTTGAAAAAAAAAAATCTTCAAATTAAAAGAGAAATACTTGCATTAGGTGGCTCAATTCTCAAAACCTAACAAAAAACAAGAGAACTACCAGATGAACACAAAATGATGTACCTGCATGGCCTGATTCAGACATTAGGCCATTCCAAGTTTTTTCTCTGTTTAATAACCTACATACCCATTCACAAAAACACACTAGCCAAAAAATAAAACACAGTCTTTACAGTCATAAAAAACAATATTGTTCAAATGATTCGATTTTAGTGATTGGAATCGGTAAGAATTTCATAATCGATGATTGGGTTACCATAACTAACTAATTATCGATTATAATCGGACATATAAGAAGTCTATCAATTTAAATAAGTAAATGGTAAGAATGGGTAAATGACTTCTTTCTGTGGTGGTCCAGCTGGTCCTTTGTTCATTTTGTAGAACCACAAGTATGTTCATACCTGGGGACGTGCTTTGTTACCCAGGTATGAACACATTGTCTGTTTATCTGTGCCATTACGATACACAAATAAGTTAATAGCTAAGTGGTGGCTGAAAAATTCGGCTTAAAAACTATTACGCTTGTAAAATAAAATAATAAACCAATTAATCAGAATAAAAAAAAATTGTAATCAATCGCTTGGATTATGCCAGCAATCGACTGATTTTCGATTATAATCGATGATTGGAACACCACTATTCGATTTCATTAATCTATTTTTATCAAAGAAGATTTATTCCTTATCAAAGTTAAGGTATTTAAATCAATTTAAATGCTTAATAAATAAATGATTTTGACATACTTTAGATAAATATAGAAAGAAATTGACAGAATTCAAAGGTTTTCAGCTAAATAATCAATTTTAAGACAACTGATTTTGTTTGTTTTTTTTCTGATCAGTGCAGAGCTGCCAACATCATAAAATGAAAAATAGTAAGGAGGAGGTCCAGAGGTCACCTAAGCCCCTGGCCACATGAGATTTTTTGTGAATGAATTTTCCCATTTTGTTTACTATAAAGCATTAAAACGATTTAGATTTCAACTATACATCGACAATGACAAAACAAGCAAGTGCTGCAAGGACTACAGCTTTTTTATTTCAATAGTAAAAGCTGAAAAGGGACAGCTATAAAAATTATGGTATTTCAAACTGATGGAGAAAAACAGAAATTGGAAGAATAAATAGAGGAATCATAAGGCATATTTTAGATTGCAAATCGTAAGCTTTATGCCTAAATCATAAGGGTTGGCAGCTCTGTCTGTGGTGTCAAAACCAAGGTGCATGTGGACGCTAAACCTAGAAAGAACTTGGAATGGCCTTAAATGATGACAACTGAACAAAGATTTCATCGAGATCACATATATGACTTGCAGGTGCAGCTGACATGGAAAAATACATCATGCAAAGTCAACATTTACAATGTACTACATATATTTAGCTAACACTCACTTTAGCTGGCCAGAATGGGTAACCTTTTAGTTTCGCCCATACTAGGGTATGTGGTGTTCTCTGAAATTCAAAGATAGTGCCACTGATATTAATCTTATTGTACATATAATTTCATAATACACATGTAATTGTTCATAAATATAATTATCTCTATATGATATATATCTTTAATATAATTCATCTCACTGCCATTTTAGCTATAATTTCCTGAAGCATATTTAAATGAAAGTTTTATATCATTAAGATAGTTCGAACTGAAAAGGAGAACAGCCTGACAGTAATCTTACACAGGTTTCACTGAACCATTCATCATTCTTCCTGATACAGGAGTTCAAGTAACAATCTGGACACAACTCTATCTCGTTCATCTGTAATGAAAATCAACAATGGTGAATCACTAGTCATTATGACCATCTTTACACTAGATTGATAAACATTTACCAGTTCAAAATTTATTCTGTGTAGTTTATTTTTGTTGTTTTGTTTTTCACTTTCGAATATGTGAATCAATGCACTCTATTCTATTTTAAAGCTTAATTCAATCAACAACGGACTTACCTCATGCTTACAAATTTTGATGATCATTTTGGCACTGGCAGTTAATTTATGGGCAGCTAAAAAGACCAACACAGACATGCTTAAAATCGGCAACAATAATGACAGGTACATAATACTGAAGACAACATTGCATCTGAAACATATTCTCCAGGTATGACTAAAGCAGAAATAAGCTTGTCTGTGATGATTCATTAACTATTTCTGGCTTTAAATATTTCAAAACACTTGTAGAAATACTGACATCCATTGAAGATGATACAGTTGTGAAGAATCCATTTAGCATCAGCTAGGAAGGCCTCTGTACACCCGTACATCTTCTTCTTAATGTTCTACAATATAAATATATAGACAGATTATTTTTCATCTAGGAAGGCCTCCATACACCTGTACATCTTCTTAATGTTCTGCAATATAAATATATAGTCAGACTATTCTTCATATTTAACTACATCCACACTTTCTGAAGCATGTTTTCAAATCTCTTTTGTTGAGGCATACACTATATAAGACTACAGCTTTAAAGGAAGTTTAAAACTATTTCAGACATCAACAATCTACCAAAGACCACTTCCTGACGCTGTTATTAAATGACCAACTCTCTCAAAAACATATATTTGAACACAATATAACATACCATTGAAGTTCGTTCATCTCGAACACTGATATCTTGAATGCCAGGGATATGTCGAAATGAGTTGGCAGTCCCAACAACTTATTTTTTTTTATGATTTGAATCAACAAATACATGTATCTCAAAGTTTAATCTTGGTCCCATCGAGTTCAAGATAACAAGGTTTGACTGTAGTTTAGTTCGTTATAAATGACCTACTTTTTCTAACTGGGTCAGATCCATGGGGTTGTAGATATAGTCTGTATAGTAAGGAACAGCCTGAAGGTCAACTGGTATGGTAAATGGGTCACTCTGAAACAAGCAAAAGCATTATTAATGGAAAGGAATACTATATTCTTATTGACACTGTAATACTTCCAATTTTCTTTTGATCCATGACACAGTTCATTCATGCTACCCACAATCACATAACAGACAAACCATTGCTTCCCCATTTTTATATTGGCCTACCCCTTGATGCTTCATCCTCTCCAGTGCATACTTGAGAAGAGTACACAGTGTATCCACGGTGATCATGGACATGGCCTTTGACCTCGTATCCACACACTCTGCTCTCATTATCTTCTGCAAAAATGGAAACGAAATGATTGTAAATCATTTACAACCCATGAAGAGTATCTTAATCACAAGATCCTGATGCCTGACTTTAAGCCTTGAATATCCTATGACAATTACATTTCTCTGATAAGCCTTCCACACTTTTGATATTTTTCAACATTTACATGTATCCTGATGCCCAATATTAATCATATGATTATATAAATGTATAAAGGCAAATGAATATAAGCAAGAAGAATGATACTAATGTTTGTTAAGTCATTTGAGTGGTGACCTTAGATGACCTATGATGACCTGTGTTGACCTACCTCACACTCTGGACACACCCAGTCCTTGGGGAGGTCCCCACTGACCTCCAGACATTTGGTGTGATAAACCCTGGGGCACAGTTCACAACAGATCACTGTCCCCTCTTTATGGCACAGCCAGCAAAAATAGTCATTACGGTTGTCCTGAAATACCAGATTTTGTCTCAATCATAGGTGGTAGAGGCTTCCAACATAATGAACAGAGAAAGATGTCAATCATCAATTCATTACACTTCAACAAACACTGCATTTCCTAAAAATTATTAAATTTCAGAGTCTTCATTTTATGAACTTCATGAATTCTAAACCAAATGAATATACATATAGATTGGTGCTGCAAAAATCTTTTAGCAGATTAATTTTTACCTCTCCCGAGCCATCGTTTCTGCCTATTTTACGTTTTTTGGGGGGTGGGTTTGTGCCAACATTACTGACATCAACACCACTGGTTTTCTCATCACTGGTGGAACCCTTCTTCCTTTTAGCTGGGGATTCTGTTTAAATAATCATGCAGGTAGTCAAAATATTATACAATAGTAAAATTTGTATGTAAGAAGAATGTAAGATACTTCAGATAAAGTGCTACTTACTAAACATTTAGTAGAGGTCATTAACCTATTACAATTACATCAACAAAATCACATCTTTTCATCAATCCTCATCTGTTTCCAAAATAATCTTTTCATTTTAGCATTCTGATAATGAATTTATACAATACCTATGCCATCCTTAGATGCTTTCCCCTGGAGTCTCTGATTATTCTCGATTTCCCTGGCGACAGCGACAGTAGTGGTACCATTCATATGAATGCTACCAGTTGATAATCTGGTTCTCATACCTCCAGCCTTCTCTGCCTCTTCTGTAACACCAACATCTGTCATGATGAAACAAGGGCTATATGCTTGTTGATTGCTATCGAGTGTTTTATTACTTAACTCTTACATGGATTAATTAAGGTAGAATTCAAATCTTCAGAAATAAGAATTTATTTTATACAGAAAACAGAAAAGTAATTATTTCTTCTGAGCATATCAATGACTTTGTTTTGTTTTCTGTTCAAACAATGTTGGATAAATATAGATTTTATTTTTCTTTCTTTCCTTACTTTTCTCCTTCTCTCTATCTCTGGACCTCTCCCTGGTCTGTGGGGCAGGGCGTCGCCTGAGTGGGATCTCATCTGAAGAAGGACACAAACATTAAAATTTCAATCAATAACCATACATGTATACTATGTCATTGAGATCAATCCTCCGTGTAGTTCATTGTATTCATAGAAGCCAATCTATAGCTTTGACACATTCATTGTATGGATGGATCACAGACATAAAAAAAATACAATAGCCAACTTCATTTCTTTCCATTCTTTGTTTTTTTTTCGAATTGCAAAGGATCTGCCATGCTTATGATAAAAGATTGATAAATGCTTTTTTCCCATTTTAACATTACAAAAATCAGTAAGAACGGAAAAGAAAGAAAATCTCAAATGTATTGTATAAACATTTTGTCTATGAAGTGTGATAAGATGACCAAAACAACAGAATCTCAAAACTAAGACGTCTGTATGTGTGTCAAGTTGAAAAAGATAAACAGATAAGTTGATATCTGTGTAAAGGACTTCAACATATATATTTTCTCTAGAGGTGAACATGCATGCGGATCCTTATGCCATCAAATTCTTATAATAGTCATAAAAAGCTTATATTTTTGTGTAGTGTATTGTATTACATTGTCTAATATATACAAAGCTTGCACATTTCTTAATTAGATAATTATTATTGTTCACTGTTTTGTTGTATTCGTGACTATATGCCAATGTATGATGATGTCAATAAAATGAACTAAATTTTTGTGTTTCCATATTAGGAAAGAGCAACAATATAGTTAGAAACTATTAAGTAAAGTGATTGCTGCATATCTCTGTTGTACATACAGTGTAGTACACATATTTAAGTTTATAGTTTTCATGTTTATTTTGAAAAGAAAAACATTGCATCACAGCATATTAGGGATGTAGATCGGGAGTAAATACTGAATTTCTGTGTGCAGTCCACATGTAGGCATGTTAAGTATGTATATCAGGATTAAATACTTAATCTCCATGTGCAGTCCACATGTAGGTCTACCCATACTATTTATAATTAGAGTCTCTCTTTTGTGATATGTGCTACATATTCTATACGTGAAGCACACACTTTCTGTTACCATAGTTACCTCTGCTCCTCAGGGATTCCGCCCTCTGACTCATGGCTTAGCAACAATCTACAAAGTAATGAACACAAGTGAAAGTCAAACATTTCACCTGCTGCCCAATTAACTTCAGAATTAATTGGTTTCTTGTCATTCAGAATTACAAAGTGTCAAGCTGTCTTCTGTGGATTTGATATGTTGTAACATCTAAAAGTTACAACTCCATATGAATAAGTATGTGTATACCTTGCATATGAAAAAAAAAATCAAGGCAATTGTTAAATGTTTACATGATTACATCCGCACACAATGATCCTCCAAAAATTAAGAGCTTTACATACATGAGTTGCAAGTATATTTGTATTTACAATGAATGCTCCTCAGTCTGTAAATTCATATATTAAACAATTAATAGATTATTAGCAATAACACAATATCTTAGTGACATTTTGAATGAACATCTCAACTGTATTCTAAATTCTCTTAAGATTATACAGTTATGACAAAACATAAGAGACCACATGCCAACCAATACAACATGAAGATCTATAGGATTGTCAGTGCAGATGTTTTCCACAGCTAAAGCATGACTCAGACAAGATTTTACACATTGAGATTAAAGAACAAGTCTGACTGTCTGGGACACAAACCTGTTGTAGTCCTGGGCAAGATAACATGTGGAGGGAATTCAATGTTTCCAAAGCAGGTCATCTATAGAGGAGAGCACTGTCATGCCCCAGTGAGCTTTAAAATTCTGTATGACACATGGTCGGTGTAGTCTGCACTCAGAGTAAATATGTCTGACCTAGATGTTTGGCAGTATTAACTCACCTCTTTGTATATATATGAAGTCACATGATGCCTCTAAATCAATAGCTGAATATCTCACTTTATCTACAGTTATATCAACATCAGCCAATGAAAACAAAGTACGGGAAACACAAGATCAAGTGTCGGCCAAAAACAGGATTGGGGCTCAAACGAGGGACTTCAATAAAAAAACATTTAAATTTCTAACACTTAATCTCTGCATTTTTATAGATTCTATTACAATAAAATTTAGATTATTAAGTAGTCTGTGTAAAACATTCTTGAAATGTTTTATAATAAAATGATCAAGGGTTGATTGTAAAATAAATAAATAAAATGAAATAAAATATTATGTTCCCAATATGTTGATCGTAAAATAAATATGTAAAATGAAATGATACTGTATTGGCTTCTGTATAAATTTCTTATCGATATGGTCACAAATCTTTCTTTTATTTCAGTCATTGTATGCATGTTCCTTGTTTTTGCAGACTTAATTTGCTTTTATTATACTGCTATTCTGGACTATGACACACAAGCATGTCTAGAATTTCTGACAAATCTTAGCTGCGCATTGAAATTGTCTGATACATACCATATGCTTGCATTTTAAATTACCTAGTTACATCCAAAGATTTAATCATGAGTTCTAGCTCCCTTGTAAATAGTTCTGATTGATAATAATTATAATTGTAAGGTATATATCAGACCTTATATATACAAATTCTGGCTGCCCAAACAACTGAGAAGAGAAACACCAAAACATTGATTTATGACAGCTAAAACGTACTGCAGTAAGGCATTGATGAAACTTGATAATATTCAGATTCCTAGCTTATTTGAGATATATATCACATCTATATAACAAGAAGCCCAGGGGCCACATCGCTCACCTGAGCACTTTGGCTAGGAAAAAGCAGAAATCAGTTCAGTATTGAAAAGTAATAAAATATAAGTGGTTGGGGGTTGGGCCGGGGGTTATGATTTGAACAAACTTGAATCTACACTTCCTAAGTATGCTTTTGAATTAATATGACACATAAAGGCTTTGCTGTTCTTAAGAAGAAATTTTTCATTGATATATCCTTTATATTCCTTTGTATAACTATGATCCCCTGTTTTGGCCCCTCCAACAAATTTGAATCTACATTACCTGAGGATGCTTTTATATTATGACCAATCACAGCTTTGTTGTTCTTGAGAGGAATTTTTAAAGATTTTTCCTATGTATTCCTATATAAAACTTTGGTCACCCATTGTGGCCCCACCCTACCCCCGCGGGTCATGATTTGAACAATCTTGATAATCTACACTACTTGACGATGCTTCCATATGAATATGACCAATTATGGCTTTGCTGTTCTTGGGAAGATTTATGTAGATTTTTCCTATGTAAAACTTTGATTGCCCATAGTTGCCCCACCCTACCCCTTGGGGTCATGATTTGAACAAAACTGAATCTACACTACCTGAGGATGCTTCCATATAAATATGACCAATCATGGCTTTACTGTTCTTGAGAAGAAGATTTTTAAAGGCTTTCCCTATGTATTCCTGTGTAAAACTTTGATTGCCCACTGTGGCCTCACCCTACCCCTTGGGGTCATGATTTGAAGAAATCTTGAATTTACACTACCTCAACCTACCCCTTGGGGTCATGATTTGAAGAAATCTTGAATTTACACTACCTGAGAATGCTGCCATATATGACCAATCATGGCTTTGCTGTTCTTGAGAAGAAAATTTTTAAAGATTTTTCTTATTTTTTCTCCTATGTAAAACTTTGATTGCCCATTGTGGCCCCACCCTACCCCCCGGGGTCATGGTTTTAACAAATTGAATGTACACTATCTCACAATGAATCCACATAAGTTTTATAATTTCCAGTCCTGTGGTTCTTGAGAAGATTTTTAAAACATGCCCTTAATTTTTCATGAATTTATAATTATCTCCCCTTGGAAGAAGGTGTGGCCCTTCATTTGAACAATCTTGAATCCCCTTTACCCAAGGATACTTTGTGGCAATTAGTTTGGTTGAAATTGGCCCCGTGGTCAACAGAACTTCCCCTAAGTAAATATATCCATACGCATTATTATCCAGCCCTCATAAAGTTAGTGGGAATGTTAGTCTGTATTGCTCAAATTTAAACATTTCTTTGAAAAAGGTTGATTGTTTTACTTAGTATAATGAATTACTAAGCCCTTACACCAGGATCAACTTCCTCGTACACCAGGATCAACTTCCCAGAAAATGATCTGAAACATGATTGATTGTAGATACTGTAAGAAATGATTTACAGGAAAGATTTGTATCCATGAAAAAAAAAGAAATTTGTAGATCCTATTAAGGATGCCTTCAAGGATTGTTGAAGGGCTTGTATGTCTCAATGACCCCAAGAACTATGCTGGCAGGAGCTCTTGGTAGGGCCACATGCCAGACAGGTCCACCAACCAGACAAAATGCAATACACTGATACTCCAGGTGTTGCTAGTAAAGGTCTTGGGTTTGATTCCTGGTCCAGCCATAGATATTATCTTTTTTCTGTTAAATTTAACACTGAGATTTCACATGGAGACATCACCATTTGCCAGTGGAGGGCTGCAAATTTAGACCTGTACTCGGCATTTATGGCTCTTGAGCAGTGAGGGATCTTTTTCGTGCCAGCACCTACTGCTATACAGCACCTCAGTTTATATGGTCTCATCCAAAGGACCTACTCCCCGTGACACAATGGATTTGTACCTGTGATGTAAGGATCAACTCCTTACTTCATGATCTAGAGCAAATGCTCTAACCATAGTGCCATGCAGGCGACTTGGCTCCATTTGTGATAGTATGTAATTAGTGCCTCATGGGTCCTTACAAAAATGGAACATTGAATTCATATATGTCTGTAGGAAACAATGGGGTTGAGGAGGTTTCTTATCGCCATGAGTGTACAAAATTTCTGTTCACCCGCTGCCCAGTTCATTCTATAGTCCAGCAGAGCTGACAAATTTGAAAGAACTTTTTCAATAAATTCTATGTAAACTTTCATAAATTGTACTTTCTGGTTAGCAATTTTTTTTTCAGTGAGTTTCATTCCAGCTCTCTGTCAGCAAATTCACCAAATGCTAAATGATCGAAACTCAAAATTTAACACTGATACAGGAAATTATTCAGTATCTAATATTACATGAATTCATTCATCAAAAGATTTCCCAATATATTTAAAGTGAGCCAAAAGGCTGTTTTGCTAGTTTTAGCTTTATGTGTACTGTGCGTAAATTAGTCCGTATTAGGGAGGAGGTTTGTTCAGAAAGAAACATATACAAGTATTCCAGGAGGAACTCCATTCCCACATGAATACATTCAGACATGGATTTTTTTTCACCCATCCTGAACCCAAATGTAACTACCTCTAAAGGTGGATTAATGAATTTCAGAAACTGGATTTAGTTTCAAAAATCCATGAAGTTAAATTAAACAGCAAAAATTTTTAATCCAAAATCGGTTTCCTAATATCAAACATAACTTGAACTTTTAGGAAATACACTGCACTAGTCTTATAATTTTTTGGAGGGGATACATGCATCGATGATTCAAATAATATTTCAATGATTTTTAAATTAATTTCTTTTTATTTGAAAAATCATTTTATAAAAAATGTTTTTACAAAAACATGAAAAAGTTAACCCACAAATCATTGGCAATATTTAAAAAATGACTTACACAACATTCCAATAAATGAATTTGTAATATATTGCATATGTAATACATGATTGAATTAGTGTACAATCTCTTCTTGATAAATTTAAAACGAAATCAAATGAACCACTCAACAATAATCCACTTTGTTTGATAGCTACATATGCACAATTTTCCGAAAGTACACAGTATTTGTGCCTTTTGTGTCAATTAATGTCTAAATCCCATGCATGTAAATGTGTGGATTAACCTACACAGAAGTGGGTAATTTAAAATGATTCTATGAAAAACCTGTGCAGTTGAAGATGTGCTCAAGGTGACACCTATTCATTTTCACCTGACAGGTGTATAATGAAGATCACAGGCCTCTGTATAAATATCAGTATTCATAACACTCACCTGGGTTATCTAGGGCACTTGTCTGGGGTTACCATGGGGGAATTCTGGGAAAAAAAAGTAATTAATGCGTCATTGTAGTTCTTTAAGTTATTATTACATATTAGGCAAAATGAAAAACTAGACATTAACACATGCATGCACGAGATGAGAAAAATGTGAATCAATTAATTGGCAAAATGAAATCGGTCAATTGAGTTCAAAAATTTAAGCATTTAAAGAAAATAAAAATACTTCTGGACCCACCCCTGATTTTTTTTTTTATAGTTACAGAATAGCATCTTGCAAGGTACATGAATGTGTTACTTACTGAGCCAATGAAAAATATTTCACTAATTCAGATATACATTAATTCAAAGATGTCAGCAATCTCACAGCAATGCATTAATTGTCCTGTGTCTGGACACACTGGTCGCTGGAATTCCATCTTTATTTAAAATGATTTCTTTTTTTAAATAAGAAAACCTAAATGTGTACATTCACTGGTGGATCAAAAACTTTAATGGATAACTAAATAACTGTGCCCCGGCCCTCCCCCCATTTGCGTGATAAGGGTGTTATACTTCTTTTTGTACTTTGTGTTTTTCAGTACACTGATAACTTAATTACTATAAAATTCAAATGTCTATTTATTTCTTATTGTTGTTCCTTATTATGATTAGTGTTTGAATTTGTAATGTAATGTATAGGTTGGACCTTGTTATGGTCCACCTATATAATAGAACAGTGGCAAAGACAGTGTTAAAGTAAAGTATTTGAGTTCAAATTCCAGATTTTTAAGAATCATTTTCATTGATAATTGATTAATCCTTCTAGAGGAAAAATAAGTTAGATGATTTGAAAACTTCAGCTAAGTACAGTCTTTATAATATTCAAAGCAAAGTACAATTCTCTCCCGATTTGCCATTATTAAAGCACAAAAAAATCAAGTCCATAATTATCGTATAGTAGTATAAAAATCTTTCATGCTCAAGTCTCATCATCTGCCCATAAGCAACCTTAAATATGAATTGAAACAAGTGATGGCTCAATCAAAAAAAAAAGGAGAAAACAGAAAAAGAT